TGAGGCCAGGCTGCCACCTTGTGGGGAAGCAGCAGCATGGCAGAGCAGACTGACAGCTTATTGAACATCTCTGCTGAAGCATAACTTGACTTAAGTCTAATTGACAGAGAAATTACAACCTCTCGGAGTGATTTATTGGTCCCGACAGACAGGAGATGCCGCTCAGCGAAGCAGCAGTGATACTAAACTAATCGTTTCACAGCTGATTTAAAAAGATCCACAGAACAGGAATGACCACAATAAAGCCGGTTTGCATTTCAAATACGACAACTGCTAATTTAGAGGACGTGCCTGCAGATAAATCCTGAGGCTGTGAGATAAGAATCCAACTTAAAAGACTAAAATAAGGGCGCATTTAAGACAAATTTCAGAGCAATCATGCTGTCAGATTTCAATCAGGGCATGTATTTGTAGAGAGAATTTGTTCAGAGGGAACAAATGTGCACTGTTTTGCAAGTAAACCCCACAAGTTTAACCTTTAAAACTCTTGGCTTTCTTAAATTCATCATAAAAAATCCCTCACATTTGCCAGAACGACATTTTTTTTTGCTGGTTTGTTTGGCAAACTGAAGTTGTATTTATCTCCAATGGGCCCCAAAAGGTAAAATGAACAGGAAGAACAAATACCGCATAAATAAAAACGTGACAAAAACAACCACACACAATTTAATATTGATGGAGTAATTTACGATCTAATATAAGTAAATGAAGAACACATTTGAAATAAAACTTGCGCACAAACACCTCCAGTGAGCTCCTGATCACGAGGGCAGAGAGTTTGATTCAAACCACAAAGAGAACCAGTAAAATCGGTCCGACTTGGTTTCTTCCAGGCAGAAACACAACCGTCCCAGAGTCCTAATTTACTCTCGTCTGAGTCACGTACAAACTATGCATTCATGCACCGAATATTGTTATCGTGGGGTGTGTTTACTTGAGCAGTGGTTCACAAATGTGTGTTGTGGCATGACTCACATTTCAGTGTTTATCCCACAAGTCGTTATGAGGATACCTTTTTTCATTTCAAGAGAAAAATCGGTAAAACAGAAGTCGAGGTTCTCCTGGAGATCCTCAGCCCCTGGATTTACACCGTCTAGTAAACATTCCTGTCGATTATACCTCCTCCTAACGAATCTTATCTCCGCCACCAGGGACTCCCTCTGCCTTGATAAAGCTTCTGATGGCGAGCAAGTTCAAAACAGGTGTGTCAATATTAACAAAACGTAAATCATGACTCAGAGCCGGTAGAGCTACATACAATGCTCGACAGGCAGATTGTAATCACTAAAACCCAACGGGTCAAAAGACGCATAAAAGAGCCGCTTTCAGTCGTGTAACGAGATTTAAAGGAGGCGAATCGACTAATCGCCCTTAATATGAGCACGTACGGGTTGAAATACTCAGAGAAAGGCGAGAGAGCCACACACAAAGAGCCTCAAACTGAAAAGTAAACTCAAACTTTAACGACCAACTCCTACCTTGCAGCAAGAAAACAAAAACAAGATTAAAGCTTTTAAAACCGATTTATCTAAATATTGAAAGCACAGTTTTGCTCTTGATCAGAAACTAAGATGATATTCAGAAAAAAATGACCCCCATCGAAACACCAAGGCTCTTTTTTCATAATCTAGGCCCAACAAAAGAAGCATTGACTCGCTGACATCCACCTTTTTCGTGCCTGCAATCGAGGCAGCTATGACAGATTTATCACCTCGCTCTGTATTCCAACTGTAAACCCATTGACTCCACAGATGTTTGAACCGACTGTACGGCTGCCAGACGTTTGGGTTTCATTAAAAGGCTAATAAAATACAAAAAAAAAAGTCAAAGACCGCTTCAAATGTAAAGCTGTTGAGAAATGCTGGTTTTACAGGCACGTAATGATTAGATTACACCGGCAATTTTTATGGCTCCAACGGATGAAGTCATTCGGATAAATTGCACTATAAAATATGACAGTTGAACTACCTTTGACTTGCAGTCAGGTGTGAAATGCGGATTACGTCTGTGTGATGTTTTTCAAACAAACAAACACGTGAAATGCATTCAAACACTTTCACTAAACACAAAACCTGGAAGGACATCGGTACTCTTAAGGTGAAATATTCTGCATGAAGCACAGAAAGTATTATTTTTTATGGTAATGACCCTGAAACAACGCTTTGAACCGAAGCGATCGGTATAATCTTGCACGCCCAAGTATTTATGAGGTATCATTTTGGTTTCGGCTCATTGCCAGCATAATGCTGTACAGTAAGAAAGAAACTGAACTGCAGTCTTTCTCCTCCGTGATGATGTTAAAGTCCAAACAAGCTGCTGAGTCACACTTAACTGGTGGAAACCATCCTCACTGATTTAACTATTTTTAACCATTTCATGATTAAGGCTACAAACAGGAGCATGTGATGCGATATGAACTCCCGGCAAACTCCTGCTTCTCTACCAGACCGAAAGGGAGAAAGGTGTACGGATACGCAACAGGCGACAGGTGCACGGTCTGCTGGAAGTGTGTGTCTGCGTGAAGGTCAGAAATGCTGTCCCTTCGACTGTGAACCGATGCTGGCACACGTCCAACCGTCAAATTATACCGGCACCGACCTGCAGGCTGAAATTCAGCCCGCGGCGGCGTAAGGAGCTTATGATTCATATCACTGACGGATGTAAAAACTGACAGCGAGCAGGTGAAACGCAGCGAGCAGAATCCTGTAAATCACACACGCCTTCGCGGCTCTGTTTTACAACCTGCCGGCAGCCACCGCACGCAGGTGTGCCGCAGCAGGCGTTTCCAAACTCCTGACAGCTGCAGCACGCCGTTTAAAGAGCCAAACTGGATTCAGACAACAAGGAATCAGTTGATTTTTGCTCTATAAACACACTACATTTTTCCAAAAATGAGGCTGAAATCTTTGGGCTCAGTCAGTAGGTTAAGGAATAAACGCAAATTAGAGCTGCAAAGAGGAAACAGGATGATTAATCAGTAACCAGGCAATAAGGCGGCTGCTGGTTTGATAACAATCACTAAAATTCTCTGGTGTCAGCTGCTGCAATGCCTCACATGATCTGCTTTTCCTAAGTTTATACTGTCATTGCAATTGGAATAAGTTTTGGATTGTTTGTTGGACAAAGCACTGGTGTGGTTTTCATATCTTTCTGACGCTTTACTTGTCGACACACACTGTGCTCGTTCTCTATGTGCCTGCTAACTCGTTAGTAAATACGGGTGTAAATGACTGGTGTTTAGGGGAAAAACATGCAGACATCAGTGGCACGACATCGTTCACTTAGAGGAAAACACTGCACGTATGCAAGGAAGGGAGATCCACATTTTAAGAGAAGAAGAGGAGAAAATGTTGGAGGAGACAGCTGACATGATGCACTGCAGCTTAGAGGAGGAATGGAGGCAGGGAGAGAAAACCGAGGGCGACAAAAGGGAAAGAAAGCGAGAACGGGAGACAGAAAGAAAGCAGTGACAGTAATAGAAACACAGAGGCTGATCACAGCATGACATGACTATAAACAAAGACGATGAAGCCGTCTGCTGCTGCTGCAGCACAGTGGCCGATTCATGGTGAGAAAGCAGGCAGACAAATAGAAGAACACACACTTGCAGGAGAAGGCATGCAGAGGCCATGTAAAGCGCACACGGCCTTTATGGGCTGCCACGGACGCTGACAAAAGCCTCCACAAAGAATACAGTCCTGCTCTGTCTGCAGCTGAATATTACTAAGATTACATCAACATAAGGCAGCAGTTACTGCAGCTCAGACACAATGTGATCAGCTGAAAATACATAAACGGTGAGCTCACCAAAAAGCTGCTGTGCTGACAATTCAAAGTGGACTTGTTAGCTCTGCAAACTGTTGATTTCAACGTAGAACTATCTACAAGTCTTCTCCATTTTACTGCTGATAAGTTTTTAGGGGGGGAACATTTTAGGGATTATACATTTGCTGCCAACAGCTAAATAAACGCTACAATATTCAGGAATACGTATTGAATTTCATTTATGGGTGCTGGGTGAGGCTGACAGTAGTCGGTTTAACTCCCTCCATACCCTGCAGGCATTATTGTTGTACTCACAACATGAATCTCCTGCTCAACCAGAACACAGGACAGTGCAGTGGTAACACTAGACTGCTTCCAAAACAGTGCTCCATTTCTCTGCAGCCACAGTTTATCAGATTTATGCAACACAACTTCTGATCCAATTCGGTCCCTGCAGCACAGACTCTGAACCACTTCCACAGCAACTTCAAATGGGCCATGTGAAGGTTTTCTAGGACATTGACTCAATTTAGACCAACCTTGCATTTTTTAGAAACTACCTGTAACTGCAATGATCACGTTGGAGCACAAGAACTGACTGAGAGACACAGCATTTAGTACTTGTACATATAAATAAACTGCTGCACGGTTCCCCTGAGTGGTACAAATCAACAGATCCAGAGTCTAATAAAAGACTAAACCCTAGGGGAGAGGGGGGAAAGGAGACGCAAAGAGTGAGCGATGAAAGGACAGAGTGAGGCACAACAACAGCCTTACTGACACAGAGTGGCGAGCTAACGGAGGTGGATGTGTGATAGTCGGGGGTCGACCAGGGCAGAGCATCTGCTGAGTCACGAGCTCCCTCAGTGACTCAGCAGCTGCTCTGGTTCCACTGATGTTCTACAACAGCTATGTCCAGTGAGCTGTCTATCACCTCTAGAGGCTGTCAGAGGGCCCACAGGGGACAGAGGATCAAGCAAATGCGACATTGGACATGTAGATATGAATTAACCTTGTGCTCAGCAGTTACAAGAAAACCAGTTGCAGGATGCTGATAAAAGCTGTGTTTCAGTTACAGCGTAGAAAAATGGACACCACAGTCACACTGACCTGACTGATTTAGGTGATTGAAAACAGGACATTTCACTGATTTCTAGCAGCAACTGTACTGCAGCCTGGACATTAAAACAGTTTACATTTGAACAGTTTCATCACAACACATCATCCATCCTCACCTGTCCTCGTCTCCTTCAGCATGCTGAGTCCTGAGGCCTGCAGCAGCAGCCACCATGAAGGCGCTGGCCTCCGCTGACATCCCAATGTGGGCGAGTGTTCCTACAGCACCACCGGCCTCTGTGGCCCCCTCGCCACCTGCTGCCACTGCCAGCCTGGGGAGACCCAGCAGGCCTTGGTGCTGGAGCAGAAGCTTTTGAGCATCCTCCAGCTGGGAGGCTTTTATGGAGCTCCCTCCTCCAGGGACATGGGTGAGGGTTGTGCCCGGGGTGAGGAGCGGCTGAAGGTCAGCTTGCAGTGCAGTCAGAGGCATGTAGGGGGTCCCATGGGTGGGCAGTATAGGGACTGTGATTTGTGGCTGTGGGTGAGGCTGGGGTGGAGGATGAGCGGTGAGAGTCTGTGGCTGTCCTGCAGCAAAAGTTGCCTGAGGAGGTGGGGCTACCTGACCTTGATGAGGCAGCTGTGGAGTAACGCTGACTGGCTGTGGTGCCATGACTCCTGGTACTGGTGTTATGGAGAGTCCGGTCGTAACATGTGGCAGCGGAGGCTGGACTTGTGTCTGGAAAGGAGCGGTAGGCTGGATAAAATCTGGCTGTCTGACATTTGCTGGGGCCATGACCCCCGCATGGAGCTGAGGTGCAGGGTAACCTCCCTGGGGTTGAGTCTGGTGGGGATCCACAGCGTAGGGCAACTGCTGGGGTATCACTAGAGCAGGTTGAGTCACACCAGCCTGTGGTGTCACCTGTGGCATCACTGTAGGGACAGTGACAGGAGCCACAGGCTTCTGCATGTGAGCCCCACCAACAACCTCCTGGGGTGAAACATAGGTCAGAGGAGTGGTTTGAGTGAGCCCCTGTGGTGGGCTCTGCATGGCTTGTGGACTGGTGTAGTCCTGGCTTGGAGGCTGATAGGGCTGTAGTGTGTGAGGCGGCTGTACAGCAGGTACACCTGGACTAATCCCAGCATTCACTGCGTCAGTCTCTGCAGCCACGTCTGCAGCTTTTGGTGCTTCAGATGGAGTCGGATGAGGAACCTCCTTTTCATAATACTCTGTGCACGTCCATCTTCCTTTGCGGAATGGCTCAGAGTTAGTGTCTAGTTTGACCACCCTAAAACGAGAGCCGGTAGCTGTTTGGGTGTGCTGGGTTTGAGTGTTGGGGGCAGCAGCAGCAGGGCCTGTTCCTCCTCCAACAGAAGCTACTTGTCCGCTTACATTGGTGGTGTCTAAACCTGCAGGCCCAGAGTGAGGAACAGCAGCAGCAGGGACAGCTGACACATTAGAAATGTTCACATTACCTTGTCCATGTGGGTCAGTGGCTGTCCCACCAACAACAGGGGCTACTTGTTGACTTGCAGGTTTAGTGTTATCCAACATTGGTGGCCTTTGGGTCTGGCTAGCCCCAGCTTTGGAACCCATAGCCGGACTGGAGGTAGCCAAAGGAGCAACGGGAAGAGTTGGTAAAGATGCTTCACCTCCTCCCAAGCTGTCAGAGTGGTGGTGATGGGCCTGGCCGTGCTGCTGAGGGTAATAATGGTGGTGCATTGTTCCGTTTACCATAGAGGTGTGCTGCTGGGACCCCTGAGGGATGGAATGAGGCTGAAGAGGCTCGTTGGGTGACACCAGTCCAGGTGTGTCGACCCCGTGGAGGCTGTTCAGCGTCTCATCCGAGGAGCTTCTCTCCGGCACACCTGTATCCGTGGCCTTGGACACAGAAACATCCAGCATATCAGAGGAGGAGAGGTCTTCAGTGTGCGACTCGTCCATGTCATCATAGCTCTCTGTGTCGTCTGCTAAACTGTTGTTGCCGCTCACATTTATCTGAGCAGAGGTGACACTTGTTATCTGGAAGCCACTTTTCTTCTTCACCTGAGCTCCAGCCGCTTGGGACTGGGGCTGGTGGTGGGGTCCGGGAGAGGAGGATCCAGCCTGGGTTGGATTGTCTTCAGCCGTGGCGACTCCACCGGCTGCGGAGGAGGCGGACGCACCGCTGCTTCCCCTCCTGTAGTGAAAGGACGTTTTTCGGGTCGCGGTCCCGGGCGGGTCTCCGGAGAAGTCCTGGTGGTGCATCTTTACCGTGGAGGAGTTTGTCGCGGCCAAGAAGTGGCAGACGGTTGTTTGCGCTACCGACTAGCTAACACAGATGCTAGCTAGCTGGGTCAGCTGCAGTACCGCGATACTAACGAGCCATAAGTGAGAAGTCATATGATTTATGTCCTTTAAAAATCAAGCTAAACGTTCCCAGATGTAGTCAGGCTGAAACATTAGCTCACCGGCTGAGTTCCTCCTCTCAACTCGAGTTCAACTCCAACTCCAGAACGATTAAAACCAGTGTATTTAACGAAGCAAATAAAATAAACAAAGAATGCGAATTTCAGCTAGCCGCTGGTTAGCTAAACGCTGCGCTGGGTCGCCAGCAGCGATTAGCAACGCTCCTCTTGAACTTTGTGTACCTTTCCACTGCCAACCACGAACGTTTAGTGGATATTACTGTCACAATTGAGCACAGAGGAATTAGTGTGAATAATTCAGGTGGTCTTCGGAGTGAAGCCTCTTAGCTGGCCGGTGTATGTCGCAGGAAAGCAGTCGTCGCATCCATTCCTCTCCCGGCCGTCGAGTCTCCTTTTCCTCGAAACGAAACCGAGCCCAGGTGACACTACACGCCGTCTGATGTCACTAGACGGCGACGTGTAAATAATATCCGTCTTTGTAGTGGTAAAAAGTGCTCGCCAAGTCCATCTCGGTGTATCTTACTGCGTCCGTGTTTGCTGTATCATTGCCGGTGAGCAGCAGCGGCTAACGGGCTGTCAGTCTCAGAGGAGGGAGGAGGAATGCAAACACTGGCACCGCGCATGCGCATCCCTGCCCATTTCTGAACATTGGTGCGGCGTTCAGGCCTCCGCTGCTGGCTCGGATTTTACCACATTAATGTATTTAACAACCTCATATTCGCTTTTTTGTTGATTTTACAATCAATTTATCCAGGTGTTGATCATTTTTCTCCCACACACGCAATATTTAGATAATTATGATGTTGGAAACACGCAGAGTTTCCGCGGTTTTTGAAATTTCATGTTCCGAACAGATTGTACAACGTGTACTCGGTACGTAAAGGCAGCATGAGGCTCTGGGTTGTTTATTTTTTCTTCTGGGAACACACTGTTTGGGAAGTGCTACTACTATATTGAACACACGAGCTGTTTAAACTTTAACAGCACTCACTGCTGTGTTTATATCTCCTCTAAGCACAGGCATTTCCCTTGTTTATCACAAATTTCAAGATTTATTTAATATTTCCTCCCATCACACAAGAATCTGAGCAACACTCCCTCTAGCCTCTATTTTCTGTATTCAAATCACACTTTGGTAGATAGGATAACAAGCCAGTCAAGACACACGCTTAACACTGAAGGATGACATCAATAGAACTTAAAATAAATACTTTCTCAATAGTATGTTCAATATCAACGTCAGTATCATGTGCAATATTTCTATTATATGTGCAAGATTTCATTATTTTGAGCAACTTTATTATTTCAGCATCACTGCCCCGATTATTTAGCTTTTTTCTATACATTTTTTTTCTCTACAGAGGCATTTTTTTCCACCCCGTTGGATCCTAATCAGCCACAACGGCCCTTATGCAAACTTCTATATTTCCTTCTGGCGACAGATTCTCATGTTAAACCTCTAACATCAAGACAGCGGATCTGATTGATGTGCTGCTCAAGAAGAGTTGATGCACGCCTGTCAAAGCACCTCCAACGTGTCAGCACCGGGGCTATTCATAAACATGTCATATGCACCTGTAGGGCAGGGTGAGTTCTGGGAAAGTTCCACTGTGAAGTCGGATTCCAGCGATTGCATAATGCTGAAACCGTAGAAAGTAAACAGAGAAATGTAAGCCATGCTTTCTGTAAACGGTGAACGTCATGAGCGTTCCTTGACAGCCTGTTTCTGCTGATAAGGGCAGTGTTTACATGGGAGTGACAGTGACACACGAGCTTTGAAAGGGCATAATTTAAAAATGAATCCAAATGTAATACAGCTTATAACAACGGGGCATTTCCCTCTTAGGCAATCATGATTTATGTCCTTGAAAGAACAGAAGAATTTCATTTTATGTACAAGAAAACATCTCCTTTGTTGCCAAAATTCTTATAGATGTTAGATATGATCTGTACGTATGTGAGAAAATCTTTTTTTTGAGTAATTTATCACCAGTCATGGAAACAGGAGTAAGAAAAAAAGTCAGAAACACATAGTCGAGTCTTAAACTTTTATCCAGGCTGTCTAAAGTGTTTGAGTTTGTTGTGTTTTTGTAACTGTATTAAACTCTATTACACACTATTTTTGTCCACTAATTAACAAGCAAAACAACAAATCTTCTTTACAGTTTGCATTAACGCAGCTGTTTATCACCCAGACACGGTGGATTCCTGTATCAACAGCAGAATAAAACACAATCACTTGAGGTTATTAGAGGAACATTTGAGAAATCCCACAGGGCAAAACGAAAACAATTCAAGGAACAACGAGTTCATTATAAACTCAGGAGCGACTCTGCTCCAGGTTTATTTTTATCACCATTTTGCAACAGAGGAGGAGGTGCATGTTTTGTTTTTTTTTGTTTTTTTGTTGCATGAGCATTGCTCAAATTCAGAGAACTGTTTTATAATCATATAATGTCACATATAATCCAATGCAGAAATAAAATAAAAACATACGCTGTAGTTCCCTGTGTTCTGTGTGAGTCTCTGGCAGTGACGTCTGGGTCTGCTGAGGCATCAGATCAGGTCCAGAAGTCGGTTTTGAAGGCGGTGCTGCAAACACTGCACGGTTGACTCAAATGGAAAGTAGTTAAACATGCTGAAGGCAGTGTCCCGGCTGAAAGACAAATAAAGCAGACATCATGGGGATCCTTTCTTACACAGAGCTCCACCGCAAAGAACAGCAGCATCTCTACAAGCTACCGTGTAACCCTCTGACTCCTGAGTAGTTTCTGTGCGTTCTGCCTAATCTTGACTTACTGATTCACTTTTTACTGACATAATAATCTACTTTCTACCTGCACAATGCAATTTGCTTCATTTAAGCTGCAGTGTTCTGTAGCTGTAGCTCTCTGTCCACTGAAAACTCCTCTGCTTTAAGTCGTAGAAGACAATCTAAATGTGTTTCCATATCCTCTAGCTACAGAGTTATAAACCCATCGATGTCTTCAGGACTCAATCGCAGACACTTCAGGAGTTTACTGGCTTTGTGTATGAAGATGGCTGTAACACATGGGGAAAGAAAAAAATCTTTAAACGTTTGACCTTCACAGAAAATAGCACAGACATTTTCCCAGGATAAACTATATGACTGTATCCACATCTGATCATCTGGTTTACGTCTCAATTGTGACAGTATTTACGCGTTCTCTTAGCAACGTCGAACACACGAACATCAGAGGAGGATTTATTATGGAAACAGAGATATGACCTTTACGACCCGCATTAATGATGTGACGAGGAGCACTGACAGGCTTTCCAGTTGTTAAAGTGGAACTCGGGCCAAAAGCTATTTTGAGTATCAATGTCTCACAACCTGGAGGTTTGAAAGACGCCTCAGAAGAGTTTGTCTCCTTGTTTTTTATTCCAAATATGGCAGCTGGAATTCACAGCAAGTACAGAAGGAATCCTGGAAAACGGTCACAGAGGGCAAACTACAGTTTTCTCAAGCTCGCATCTGGCAACTGCATCCAGGCTGCAATACCTGGTTGTGCCACCAGGTGGAGCATCTTTTGTTTAATGAGCTGGATACTTCATGTTAGCTGTACATGAGATGGTACCATCAAAACACATGCCCCGTGTGAGGCTCGAACTCACGACCTTCAGATTATGAGACTGACGCGCTGCCTACTGCGCCAACGAGGCCTGAAAAAAGGGTAAAAATAGGTGTTTCTTTTCCATCGTTTCACCTGATCGTCATTCTACTAAACACTGATACTGCATGTGAACCAGATCCTCTTAAGTTAGAGAATAAGTGAACATAGAATAAAAGTTGCATCTGGGTCAACAAGAGATTAAGTACAACCGCAGCAGATTACATTTCTGTCGGTATGTGATGGACTTTTTACTGATTTATGGATTGATCGTGTTTCGGCTCTTGCATGCCAACGACAAGGACACTGTGTTGATGAGTTAAATAACACTTTCAAATGTTTGTTGTGATTTCAAGCAGTTTAAAACAGCTTGGCTCAACCATTATGTCCTGTGAGGCTCTCCTTATCTGCTGACTTAAACAGTCTTTTGATCACTTTAGTGCTCAACCAATCACAACATGGCCCTCACCTTGAAACAGCATCTAAAGGGTTAATGGTGCAATTGATACCATGTCTGACTACAGATCAGAAGATTCTCGGTTTGTCTCCTTGCTAGCTTGATAAAAATGTACCTTTACTTGTGTCCTACATTTCCATGCTTCCTTCTCTCCTACCTCTTGTAAACACAACAAATATAAATGAGGTTCCTATCCTTCTGTCTCCTTTGTGCTAGAATCTGCCTGAACCAGTTCATTCACAACTTTTGCCAATGACTGTCACAATTCCACTTGTGTCAAACCAAACAAAAGGAAGAAGGTAAGTGCATTTTGTTTAGCTTTTGGATTTGCTGGTGCAGCCAACAGTGTTTCAGTCTCATAACCTGAAGGCTGTAGAGCCTATTTTTGTCAGATGTGAATGTCGGAGACGCCCAGGGGCCTCAAGAGGTTAAAAGGAAAGAGAAACAAGTGGAACACCCGGGGCATTCAAATGGGAAAAATCATTCATTTTACCTGTTTTGGGCCTCGACACAGTAGGCAGCACCAGATTCATAGTCTAAGGGTTGTGAATTTGAGGCTCACATGTTTTGTTGCTACCATCTCATGTTCAGCTAAACTGGGTCAGTGAGCAAACACACCTTTAGCTCCAGCTCATCACACATGCCTTGTGTGCAGCACATCAGTCTCATAATCTGAAGGTATGTGTTTAAAAACATGCACAAGGCATTAGGTATAGAAGACGAACAAGGCTTAAGAGATATTGTCTCTGAGGGACATACACAGCAGCTCTGTGGAGCTACAGCTGCACAACACATCATGTCAGCATTAATGTTTGAAACAGGACAAGTCAAGCGTATTTTCCTGCCCCATTGTTTTCCAATGTAAGAAGTCATTTGATCACTTTCTTGTTTCACTCTTTTGAACGGGAATGAAATTAAATAACACTGTAAATATTTCAGTATAGCCTTCAGGTGTCACTATTCATTCGCAGCATAACAATTTTAACTCTCGTTCTACACAAGAGTCTCCAGGTTGACAATGTCCCGGCCACTAATATTTTAATATTTCTACCCAACAAAAGCCCGATGAGGTGACAGGAAAGGGAAAAAGGTGGGAAAACCATTAGTTTTAACAGAAACATAATCAGAATATTGATATTTAGAGCTTAAGGGATGTCATCCCCTCAGCAAGACACCTAACTGCCCAGTGGCCGTGATCGTATAGTTGTCAGTACTCTGCGTTGTGGCCGCAGCAACCCCGGTTTGAATCCGGGTCACGGCAAAACCTGCAGTCTTTTGTGTGTGATTACAAATAACCAAGAAAAAGTCAAGAAGGGGACCTGCAGGTCTATAAGGAGACGGGGGAAGCCTGAGGAAAAGCATCAGAGAGGCCAAGCGCAGATACAAACGGAGTGTTGAGGAGCAATTTCACAAAAATAATTCCAGGTGCATGTGGCAGGGGATAAAAACTCTGACTGGCTGTAAGGGAAGCTATACAACAACTAACTCCACAGACAGCGC